ACCTTGCCAGAAGAAGTAGTCTTGGTTGGAGGTTTTTCTCATTTCAATACTTTGAATATATTGTGCCCTCCTTGAATATATTGTAAAGTTAGTCCTGAAAAACCAGCTAGTCATTGTGTGGGGATTTCCTTGTACATAACTGGTTGTTCTTATTTTACTGCTTTTAAGATTCTCTTTAACTGTTGACTCTTTGCTTATTATATGTCTTGGTATGGACCATTTTAAGTGCATCTTGTTTGAGGCTCTCCGTGCTACCTGGACTTGGATATCTGTTTCCTTCTCCAAGTTAGGGAAGTTTTCACCTGTTATTTCTTCAAATAGAGTTTCTGTTCTTTTCTCCTTCTGAGACACATTTAAATGAATGTTAGTATATTCATGGGTCCTTTAAATTATCCTCTTTCTTTAAAATTCTTTTTTCTATTTACTGTTATATTTAGATGATTTCCACTACTTGTCTTCCAGATCACTGATCCATTCTTCTGCTTCATTTAATTTGCTGCTGCAGATACCCTCTAGTGTATTTTTTCATTTTGGTTACTGTATCTGTCAATTCCAATGATTCTTTTTTGTATTTTCTATCTTTGTTGAAGTTCTCACTGTTTTTATCCATTCTTCTCCTGATTTCAGTGAGCCTCTTTATGACCATCACATTAAACTCTTTATCTGATAGATTGCTTATGTCTGTTTCATTTAATTCTTCTTCTTGATTTTTGTCTTGTTCTTTCATTTGAAATATATCCCTTTGTCTCTTCATTTTAAGTAACTTCTTGTGTTTGTTTCAGTATGTTAGGTAGATTGGTTACATCTCCCGCTTTTGAAGGAGTGATTTGATGGAGATGTCACTGGGGCCCAGTTCTGCAAACTTTAGTCACCCAAGCCCTTTTGTTGGCAGTGTGAACGCTCCTCTATTGGCTGGGTCATGACTGGCAGACTCAGTAGTTTTTTTTTTTTAAGGTTTTATTTATTTATTCATGAGAGACAGAGGCAAGAGACACGCAGAGACACAGGCAGAGGGAGAAGCAGGCCCCATGCAGAGAGCCCGATGTGGGACTCAATCCCAGGTCTCCAGCATCAGGCCCTGGGCTGAAGGCAGCACTAAACCGCTGAGCCACCGGGGCTGCCTGGCAGACTCAGTAGTTAACAGGACTGGCTCAACGTGGCTGTCTGTGAGGCCTGGCCGCAACTGCTGTGGGCACCATGATGAATGGAGTTGACTCCCAACTCATCTGGCCAAGCATCCTGGCTGTGACTGCTGTAGGAATTATAGAGTGCTGGGTTGGCCCCCAGCATAGCCTGCTGAGATGCCTGGCTGTGACAACTGTAGGAGTGCTGATGGTGGGACAGGTCTCTGATACAGCTGGCTGTGAGGGATGGCTGACTGTTGTAGATGCTCTGGTGTGCACGGATGGCTCCCAGGGTTGGGGGTTGGGTCACTGGTGCCAACCAAGGCCACCACCATGTTTTATAGGGCAGAAAGCCGCTTGAAAGGAGTGTTGTGCTGGGGTAGACAGTTTGGCAGTGTAAGTCCACAGTGTTAAATGTTAGCATTAAATGAATGATGCTAGCACAGTAGATGGAGACTGTCAGAAATGCTTCCTGCCAGCACTTCCATCCCCAGAGAACGTTCCAACAGATTCCTCTCTCTGGCACACACACCAGAGATGGTGTGTTAGTCGATGGATCTCCTTCTCTGTTAACCCAGGCACTTTGGAAACTGCTGCCCCTGTGCTGGGACTTGGAGCAAGTGAGTTGTGTACACACACCTAAAGGCCCCCCAGACACAAGCCCCACTGATGTTTGAAGCCAAACATTATGGGTGCTTATCTTTCTGGTGCAGATCCCCTGGGCTGTGGACTCCAACTTCCTCATGGAGGGCCCTCTTTGGTTCTGAAATCCCTTTCCCTGTGGGTCACTGAACCAGGGGTATGGTTCCTGACTAGACAACATCTCTGCCCCTCCTACCCAACTCCTTGTGGATTTTTTCTTGTATCCTTAATTGTGTATAATCTGTTCTGCTGTTCTTCAGTTTGTTCTCAGAGATAGTTCTATTTGTAGTTGTAGCTTTTGGTGTGTCAGTGAGATAGGATGAGTCAGGATCTTCCTATTCCATTATATTGATCCTCTACTATTTTGCCTTATTTTTTCATGGTAAAGTGGTATTACTATCAACTAGAAAAAAATAAGTTTATTAAACTTAAATTCCTAGACCTCGGTTCCATCCTAACTACATAGATTTTGCCTACCATTTCTGTTCTGAGCAGTATTTTCCTTCCAATGTAAGGTAAACTGGCAATGTATCTTAGTTTTGGAAACTGCCATAGAATCTCTAGAGTCCTCTTCAGCAACATTGATATAATTTCTCCCAGGTTTGATAGTCACTGTTTGCTTTTACTTAGGGCTATAATAAATGTTGCATTTTAAAATCTCTTGAACTTTAAGCACAGTCTAAGAGTGTCATCTTGGTTTAAAATGAAAATATCAGCAGATAGAATATATTCTATTTTTTTAAGATAAAATCACACTCATCCCTCAGAATAGTTTTTTTCTGTATGTGCATGGAACATTAACAAAAATCAAATATATTTTGAAAACCTAACAAACGTTGAAGAAATAAAGTAGATTTAACAGACTGCTAGAAAATCTCTGGTCACAAGCCAATAAAGTTAGAAATATATAGTGATAACTAAAACTTTAACTATTTTAAAGTTAAGAAACATAGTATTTGGGGATCCCTGGGTGGCGCAGCGGTTTGGCGCCTGCCTTTGGCCCAGGGCGCGATCCTGGAGACCCGGGATCGAATCCCACATTGGGCTCCCGGTGCATGGAGCCTGCTTCTCCCTCTGCCTGTGTCTCTGCCTCTCTCTCTCTGTGTGACTATCATAAATAAATAAATAAATAAATAAATAAATAAATAAATAAATAAAACATAGTATTTGACATGACTGAGATCAAGGAAGAGATCAAAAAATAAAACTACAAACTATCTAGGGAACAATAAAAAAATACTCATCCTCAAACTATGTGTAACCTGTAATCAGAGGAAAAATTCTACCCTCAAATTCTTTCTTAAGAAATCAGAAAAGCAAAAGAAGTAAGTAATCATTTTAAATTCAAACAAAAAAAGAAAATCAAAAGAAACTAGTGAGAAGGAATTAAGGTAATTCTGTGTGTCAGCACAGAAATTTCTAGGCTGATCTCTGTGCAAACTCCAGTATCCAGTGTATTAGAGATAAGGGTGTATGGAATTGGAGATAGCATATAAATTTTATGAAGATAATTTTGGCCCTGGCCTTCTATGCCCACTCCCCATGATTTACCTGCTCCAGATTCCCATATGGAACTAAGTGGTTAAAATGAGTGGATGGCCAGCTACGCAGGGTTCTGTGGTAGCATAAACATGAATTGATACCTCCTACTCTAATGACAGTTCCCCTGGAGGAGAATTGTGAATCTTTGCAATGCCACATACTAAGGAAAATCTCATTTAGAAAAGACAAGACCCCAGAACATAACTAGATTACAACTTTATGTATTAATGGGAATTATAGAACAGATAGGTGTAAATATATTGTATTTAAGATAGCCTTTTGTTTTCTGTATTTGTCATACTTCTCTGGATAACTGTCCTTGTCAATAGCAATTCTTAATCTCTGAGGCTTAAATAGACTTGTGATTTAAAGTAGTAATTTCGGGATCCCTGGGTGGCGCAGCGGTTTGGCGCCTGCCTTTGGCCCAGGGCGCGATCCTGGAATCCCGGGATCGAATCCCACGTCAGGCTCCCGGTGCATGGAGCCTGCTTCTCCCTCTGCCTGTGTCTCTGCCTGTCTCTCTCTCTCTCTCTCTCTCTCTCTCTCTCTCTCTCTCTGTATGACTATTGTAAATAAAAAAAAAAATTAAAAAAAATAAAGTAGTAATTTCATCATTTAATATTATAAATTTGGGTAATCTTTATATTCCTATTGCTATTTGCTATGTATTTTAGGTTTTATTTACCTTTGTCTCAACACTGTCACTGACTGATCATTGAGGATCAGCAGGTGCTGTTTATTTCTGACTCAGTTTGAATTAATAGCAATAGTACATTTGAATTGCTTGATTTGTGGAGGGGGGATGGGGGACAGAAGTAGGAGGTATGAGAAAGTGTAATTGATTTTTTGGAGATTTGTAAAACCAGACTATAGGAGAATAGATAATGTCTTCCTTTAGGATTTTTTGCTAGTTTGAAAGTAAGAGGAATGCGTGCTCATGTTTCTTTACAGAAGTACAAGTTTATTTAGCATGTCCGACAAAATATGAAAAGGGGAAAGAAAGGACCTTAAATACTAGAAAACATCTCCTAAAACAGTTTGTAATATCCACTATATTTAATTGCTTTTGAAGTCCTTTTTTATTCTAATGGATCTGCGGAAACTACTAGATGTAATAATATGATAATAATCAAATTTGCTTTAAATTATTATTGTACTAGTTGGGATTTTTTTGTTGTTTTTATTTTGGAAGGAAGCCATACAAAGGCCTTTATAAACTGTGTGTAATTTATGCCCAAAGATAAAATTGCATGTATACATGACAGTGTATATGATTTCTATTTCATATAATTTTATCCATTTTCCAAGTTTATTCTTAATAGAACTAAGCCTTCTCCTGTATATTAAACTGATTTTCCTCTTCTTTTTCAAAGAATAACTGGAGAAATCATTTTATTTCTACTGTTCATTTTCTTTTGATAATACTAGATTTGAAAGAAAGTAGCAAGAAAAATACAGTATCTTTAGAGCAAAGAACACAATGGTGTGGTTTTCACCATTAGTATAATTCTGTTGATGGGTATTTGAAGTAGCAAAGAATTTTTTTTACACCATGTCACTTTTTTCATGCACCTTCTTGGATTTTCTAATTTCTTTTAATTTTAAGGATTTTTTTTTCTTTATCGTAAAAAGAGGTGAAATGTGAACATGTTCTTGTCTTAGTTTTCTTTGTATCCATCTATCCATCTATAGGATGAATATAAACCAGAAAAGGCCCTGTCAGAAGAGGATTTGAAAAACGCCGTGAGTGTGCATCATGCGCTGGCATCCAAGGCCACAGACTACGAGAAGAAGCCAAATGTGCTTAAACTTAAAACGGCTGACTGGAGGGTCTTGCTTTTTCAAGCCCAGTATGTTTCATTGGTTTGGCTTGGTTTGGTTTGAGTTCTTAGTTTGCATAGCATCACCTTAGACCAAGAACTAGAATCAGAGTCTTCCGGGGAAATGTTTTGAGGTAGATTCAAAACATTTCTTAGGCAATTGCCTAAGAAAACTAGAATCATAAATAAAAACCCTGAGTGCAGGTTTTTTTGTTTGCTGCAAAGTAGCCCTATGACTTTTAGTCAGCCACTTACCAACTCCAGAACTTAATATTTTTATGAATAAAATACAAAGGTTGTAGTGTACAAGTTTTATCAAACAATAAGTACAATAAACCTGGATTCAAGTCACCATTTCCTAGCTCTTTGTCCTGGTGTGTAATTTAACCTCTCTGAACCTTAGCTTGTCGCTAGTGCAGACGATACTATCTCATAAGGTTTTTGTGAGAATTAAATGAGATCAAGTATATAAAGTACTCCATACAGTGTCTGGCACATAGAAACTGTTTTAGTTAGTGTAGATTTCCATTTTGTTCCCTCTGTCTCTCTTCTTTCTCCTTCTGAGCTCTAATAGTCTGTGATAAAATTCAAAGAAAAAGATAGAATTATATTGTAGGCAAGGAAATGGGATGGATTGCCAGTTTAATAAGGAATCCATGATAAACTTCAGATTACAAGTGAAGCATTTCACGTGGAGAATTCTGAATTTGTGAAGTAAGAAACTTTGGATTTTCAGAACTGAGCCTCTAGAACAAGAATTTTTATAGAAGCACACATAGCATCAGTGTCTGTGGCAGTGTTAATTCTTCATGGCATGCTTTTCACAGCCTGAGCCTGACTTCAGAATCACTCTCAGCACACCACCAATTGACTGCATTAGGCACCAGACTTAAAATTTGACATCAAGATAGTGAACACAAACATCTGCATGCTTGTTGATTGTAGCAATGTAAGATCAAAAAAAGAAATAGAACAGTAGCAGGTACTCTGGTGGTTTGTGAATGTTGAATTTGCGGAGGTATGAGATAACTGACATCGGGTGAGGAGGAAGCTGTAAGGAAATCCAAGTTACACAGGATTTTTTTAATGTGGGAGTAAGACAGCTTTAACACCACAGAGGGAATCAGAGCCAGATGTATAATTGCAGTTATTAGTCATCAGAGTCCTTCAAATTATTCTATTCCCCAACATTTTTTCTTGCTAAAATACCAAATATGATAACTAAGAATCTCTAATTACTTCAGATAGAATTGATGCAGAAATCAGTGAATTAAATTAACAGAGCCCAAGAAATCAGATTAGAGAAGCATATGGGGTGCAAAGAGGAGTTGATTTCTAGTGTGGTCTCAGGTTAGTGTGGTTTCTCAGAGTAATCAGTAAATGAAATGATTTTAAATGGGTTGAAATTTTGTCCATCTTCTGTTTATTGCATATATACATGATGGATAATCTCTCCTGGCTCCTATTTCTCCCATGCATTTATGAATTCACAAATATTTATTAAGTGCTGTCAGGGCTGGTCTCTGCAAATATATGACATTCAAGTTAAAATTATGTTAATGTCACCAGATGATTTTCACATCCTTTCAGGTATATTTTTAACATCCTTTTGAGATATACTTTACCAACCATTAATCTCATCTAGGTTAAGTGTACACTTTAATGACTTTTGGAAAATTTACAGAATTGTGCAACCATCACCACAATCACGTTTTGGAAAACTTCCATCACCCCAGATTCTCCATGACCATTCTGTACTCACTCCCCATTTTTACCCCTAATCCCAGACACTACTAATCTCCTTTCTGTCTCTATAATATTGCCTTTTCTGGACTTTTCATACACATAGCATCATATAATGATATGTGTCTGGCTTTTTTAAATTACCATAAAGTTTTGGGGGTTCATGTATCTGCACTTCTTGCCTTTATTGCTGAGTAGTATTCCACTGAATAAATATATACCGCACTTTTAAAATTCATTCCCTAGCTGATAGACATTTGGATTGTTTCCTCTTTTGGACTCTCATGCTATGAACATTCACATACAAATCTTTTTGTGCCTGTATGTTTTTATTTATCTTGGGAGTAGAATTGCTGGGTTATATGATAGATTTATAGTTAACTTTTCAAGAAACTGTCAAAGCTGCTTTCTAAGTGGGTGTTCTCTTTTACATTCCTTTTAAATTCTATCAGTTTGTCACTCAGTTGGATTTTTAAATTGAATTATGTGATTGGAAAAGATGAGTTAAATTTTCAATTAATTTTTGACTGAGCCTAGCATCAGACAAGTAGGGGTTTAATATTTATTTTCAAGTGACTTTGCTTTTTCCCCTTCTGTATCCTTGAGGGATAATCACAGCCTTATACTATAATGATCACAGGTTCCAAGACCTCTTATTACCGTGGTGATTGCTGTTGAAAATGTTAATCTTAGTGAAATTTTGTCAGGAATTTATTGTACCAAGAAAAATAATTTTATGTGCCATTTTAATTCAATTGTGAGGGGCAGCCTGGGTGGCACAGCGGTTTAGCGCCACCTTCAGCCCAGTGCGTGATCCTGGAAACCCAGGATCAAGTCCCACATCAGGCTCCCTGCATGGAGTCTGCTTTCCCTCTGCCTGTGTCTCTGCCTCTCTCTCTCTCTCTCTCTCTCTCTCTCTCTCTCTCTCTCTCTCATGAATAAATAAATAAAATCTTCTAAAAATTAAATAAATAAATAAATAAATAGTGAGAAATGAGCAATATGTAATGCACTTAAGATAGAGAAATGCCCTGATGTAAATTTATCTGTTTCTCATAGGAGTCCAGAGGAAATGCAGGGGTGGATAAACAAAATTAATTGTGTTGCAGCTGTATTTTCTGCACCACCATTTCCAGCAGCCATTGGATCTCAGAAAAAGTTTAGTCGTCCACTTCTGCCTGCCACTACAACAAAATTATCTCAGGTAAGTAAATCATTGTGATAGTGCTCCGACTTTCGGGAAAAGCACTTTGTAAAATAATCTTATTAACATTTGAGTGGAATAATACTCCACATTTTAGCAGCAGAGATGAGACCTTGCCCTGGGAGGTCTATTGTATAAATGGGGCAAAATGCAGTATGTTTTACACTTCATATTGGAAGCTGACACAATTGAGTCATGGTTGGTAGGACACATACTTTGAATGAGTTTCCAAAATTTATATTAGTTTATACTACTCAGTCATACAGGACTCATTTACTTTGTTTAAAGAACAATTACTTTTTTAAATTGAAGTATAGTTGAGACATAATGTTACATTAGTCTCAGGTGTGCAGCATAATGATTCAACAAGTCTACACGTTATGCCATGCTCATCATCAGTGTAGCTATCATCTGTCCCTCTACATCTGTCCCTATACAATACCATTGACTCTATGTCCTGTGCTACTTTTCATCCCCATGACTTCTTCATCCTGTAACTGGAAACCTATTCCTCCTATTCTCCTTCACCCATTTTTTTTAAACTTTCAATTTTATTTTATTTTTTTTAAAGATTTTATTTATTTATTCATGAGAGACACAGAGAGAGAGAGAGAGAGGCAGAGACACAGGCAGAGGGAAAGCAGACTCCATGCAGGGAGCCTGATGTGGGACTCTATCTCAGGTCTCCAGGATCACACCCTGAGCTGAAGGTGGCGCTAAACTGCTGAGCCACCCAAGCTACCCTCCTTCACCCGTTTTGCCCATTCTCCATCCCTCCCCCCCTCTGAGAACCATTAGTCTATTATTCTCTGTATTTATGAGTCTGTCTCTGCTTTTTGCTTGTTTATTCATTTGTTTCGTTCTTTAGATTCTACATTTAAGTGGAATTATATGGTATTTGTTTTTTTCTGTATGACCTACTGTGTTTAGCATTATACTCTCTAGGTCCATCCATGTTTTTATAAACGGCGGGTTTAGGTTTTTGGTCTTGTTTGTACTAACAGCTCATATTTTTTAAATGACTGGCTAGTATTAGACATCTTGTCTTGAAAAATAAGCTTATTCATTTATTTATTTTTCATTTTATTGAACTTCTCCCATATCCCAGGCTGTATTTTATGCTGGATATATAAGAATATTTCCAGGGATCCACTATCCATAGTACAATGGGGCAGAGATTTCCCTGCCTCTCAGGGAGCAGCTGAGTAGAACATATGGATTTTCCTAGCTAATCAAGACAATAAACAGTAAAACAGTATTCCAAATGTAGTCACATAAGCTTCTCTCCTGTTGTTAGATTGATCTGTCTAAAAATCATATTTTATTGTATCCCTCTCCTACTTAAAACTCTGTTGTAAGGACATGGTATATAGGCCAGTTTTGCCAATTTAAAACTTGTCTGTGGTGCCCCTGTTGCCATTGACTAGTTAAGGATTTTGGAAGCTATTTTGATGTCCTTGTGAATTTCTTATTGGTGAAATAATAGAAATAGTTTCATCTGGCTCTAGTCAACTAGGTCGTACTATTAACTAAGTCCTCTACATACCTGATATCATGGATTATCAATGTATTATGTACCTATTAAACCCGAGACACTATTTTAGGCTCTGAAGACAGACAAATGAAACCCACTCTTTGGATACAAAACATGCAAGTAATTATAATACAGTTTGACTAGAGTACAGGAAACATAAGTCCAGAGTGCTAAGGGAGTGTAAGAAGACATTTAGCCTGGCTTGTAGGTGGAGGAGGAAGTATGCTATCTAATATGAAACTTAAAGGATGAACAGCAGTTAGTTGTGGTGTGGGAAGAGAAAATGATGCAGCAGAGGATCAGAAAGGCCCAGAGGAGAAAATACTGAGATGGGGGAATCACATACAATTTATCAAATGTGACTTGAGCACAAAATATTGAGAAAAGGCATGATACATTCCTCTGTAGAAGTAAGTAAAGCCAAATGATGAAAGGTCTTGTATGTCATGTGTAGTTTTTTGGATGCTTCACTGGTTCCCTAGCATTCTTAAGACAATAGTTTAAGCAGGAAAGTAATGTGACCAAATTTATACTTTAAAAATTACTTATGTTAAAATAGGAAGAAAGTATCAGAGGAGGAAACTACTAGAAGTAGAAAGTCTAATTTTAAAGGCAGGGGAAATAATGAAAGGAAAAATAACAAGTTATTTGTAGAAGAGAGGAATAGAAGTGAAAGTATTTGCGAGATCTTGAGAGTGTGGACTGTGTGTTCCTATGGCTCACTAAAGAAATAAAGACTGTCATCTAGGCATCAGCAACTGGCGATTGTAGTGTCTGACTAGCCTTTGTGACCTCATCATCTGGTTTTCATCCTGTTCTTCTCTTGAGGGTTCTTTCCTGGGTCCTTTTCCTCTTGCTACTTCCAAATGTTGTAATGCTCAGTGCTCAGAAGCAAGCCAAAAAGGACACTTGAGAAACAATTTTTTAAGGAAAAACAGGGAGAATGTTGTGCCAAGGAAAAGGGAGAATGAGGAGAGAAATCAGGTAAAATTAGTACAAAAAATATCTCCTATGAAGTGGCAAGGATGTCACTGGGTCCTTTGGTGGGAGTAGTTCATGGAGTGATGGAAAGAGAAGCCACATTAGTCTTCTTTGAAGGACTGGAAGGTGGTAAAGAAGTGGAGGAAGGGAATATGTCTTGCCATGGGTTTATGAAAAATAGACTAGTGGTAAGAGGAGACTCCTTTCTTGGTTTAATGACAGACTCTTTTGGTTTTGTTAATTTATAATTATTATTAATGTGAATTGGATACTCCCCATGTAAACATTACTATTACTCTGTAGTTCAAAGACAAGCCAAAACTGTTAAGAATAGAAATGACTGTACAAGGCAGAATGGCATTTAATTTTCAAAGATAACAAATATTCTAAGAGAACAGGTCATCTTATTGAGGACCAAGAACAATGTTAGCAGGATTCTCCATCTATCCAACTAAACTATGACTTCTTAAAGCAAATGCTTTCCCCCACTTTAATTTTGGATATTTGAAATAAACAGTAAACCACTTTATATAAGGAGAGAAAATAATTGAACAACTAGATAGAGGCAACAGATACCTTTGGGTTTTGTTCTATTAATTTCACTAGGGATTCTCCAGTAGTTATTTTTCAATAGATTGGTCTTTCTCACAATCATTCTTATGAAAGATCCAGGAGAAAGGTAAGTTAAAGTTTAAAAGAAGCATTAATAAGCATAGAGCAACATGCAAGTTTTAACTTGTTCTTTCCTTCCTATGGATCTACACTTCTATTTACTTTCTACTTTGAAAATGTACTTCTGTTCTATTTATATATGCGCTGTATATTAGTAAGTCATTGGTGCATGAAAATGAGTATGTTCCTCCATTTGTGTATTTTTTACCACAAGACTGATCAAGCAAGCACCTTTATCAAGGCAAAAATTCTCTTATTTTAAACAAATGCCTTACACTGGAACTAAAAATAGAATACATAAAAGTTTTAATATTTGTCCTGATTTTGAACATAAATCCACAGAGATTTAAAAAAAAAAAAACAATGCTTATGTAATATGATCAAAATGATGGATAGCATTTTAAATAAGGCAATAACCAAAAAGAAATGTGTTCCTTTGTCACATAAGATGACCAAGACTTTTCAGGAATTTAATTTCCTTATAAAAAATAAGACATTTTCCTCCTCCACAAGTAAATCACCAAGTCTTTGTGGGCCTCAGTTCCATCTGGAAAATGAAGAGATTGTTCTAGAATGTTTTTAAGGTTCTTTCACTAGCTGTGTATTTTTTGCCCAGGTGATTATCTTTGTTTACTTAAAAATGAAGATAGTTTGCCTTTGAGAGTAACAGGACAATTTAGAAATAAATATGTAAAACCAAGTACGTGATAAAGAATAGTTTAGAAAGAGGAAGAGAAGAATTAGTCCGCACACAGCCTGTGCAGTATTTGGTGCACCCTCCACATCAGATAGAGACTCTGTGGGGGCATTTCTGGAGGAGTCATAATGCACTTTAGTGATTCCTGGAATATGTGTCAAGGTGCATCCACAAGGTTTCCAGTGCCTTGGAGATTAATCCTCATGATTTAACCCTGGCGTTGCCAGCTTTAGCACCACTGCCATTTTAGCCTAGCTAGTTCTTTGTTGTGGTGGTTGTACTTTGAATTGTAGGATGTTTAGCAATATTCCCAGCCTCTCCACTAGATACCAGTATCATCCCCCTAGTTGTGACAACCAAACATGTCTCCACTTATTGCCAAATATCTGTGGGGTCAAAACCCACTTTCCTGCTACCTGCTGCTGTTGAGAACCACTGAATTAGCCAAGCCATCTTTCCTTTCTCCATACACCCACAGCCTGGCTGTGATTCCCCTAAATGCCAGAACCACATGGATAATTTTAGTTTACAAAATACATGTATAACAGTGTGAGTACCCAGCTGGAAAAAAAAAAACAAAAAACAAAACTTAATAGTATTAGGAAAAAACTAAACATTCAATTAAAAGATTTTGATGCTTTTAAAGACATACTGTTCATGATCATCCTGTCATTTGCAAGCTTTTCGTTAATTTATTCTTGTCTTCTATCGAAAACATATTAGCCTTCATTATTAAAATTGATTATTGTCAGTGCAGTGCAGTTCTTTCTGAACAACTCTGCTGTGTAGGAGTCATCTTCTTTGGTTGTTATTGTGGCGGTGTTGCCAAAGCACATTTTTCTTCTTCTTTTGAGGGTGGGGAGACTAGTTTGAAAATTTAAGTTTCATTTCTCCTTCTGGTACAGCACTCTCAATTTAGGATTTCATGGTTGGCCCTCTGCAGGATCTATTCAGGACATCCCTTTGTACACATCAAAGTAATCGTTTTCAGGCTTGAATATGCACAAGATGATCTGGGGACTTTGAAAGTGCACATGTCCCAGCATCCTCACCCCAGGTCAATCAAGTCCAGGTCACGGGCCCAGGAACATGTATGTTTTAATACACACCAGGTGT